GACGGTTGGGTGGCATGAAGCGTCGCTGTGAGCTAGGTAATAGTCAATTGGCGATGCTTCGAAATGCGTTATGAAGAAAGAGGGATAGTGGGGACCTCCGAGTGAGATCTCATGGAAATTCAACACCCAGCAATAGTTTATTTAGTCTATGGGGCATATTTATTTATTTTCTCTTCCCTCTTTTCGCTTGCTTTGGGATTTCCTGAATTTTATTAGGGTTAGGCTAACCGTTTGGCTTGTCATGGGGAAGGGTGCTGTGGTCTGTTCGGGAGATGGTCGTAGAGGACCTTCAAGCAACACGGTGATTGCCTGGACATAGCACCAGCGACTAGGGGGCTCCGAACTCTCCAATTCTCGCTACTATTGCTTCCTGGCTTTGTTTTTTAGGCTGACAAGTGCTGCAGGCTTTCTATTGTCTAGGAAGCGGCCTTAGCAAAAGTCGAGAAAATGCTACAATATTACAATAAGCACGGTGACATAAATACCAGCTATAGGCATTTCCGTAGAGTAGCATTGGGAGTTATCGCTCATGGTAGGGCTAGCAAGCTTATGGATGGGTTCCTCTCACCGTTACTACCACTAGCGGGAAAGATGGTGGAGGGGGCTATCAAAAGTGCCTGGATATTTTGTTTGAGAATTTCAAGTGGACCCTTGTTGCGCTGCCTTGGCTTTTGTGTTGGTGTTTCGCCCTGCCCACTCGTTTGTGAGCGGGGTGTGCTGGTGTGGAGTGTTGGTTTGGGTGAAGGCTCACCCTTGGAAACGCCATTGCTCTCAAAGTCAAAGGTCATGGGAAATGGAGTTTGTACATGCCTACCCCTCCCATAGACGCAAGTGTAGTACACTTTCTAGCAATGTATCCTGAGCTCCAAATTAAGCTCCAAAAACCAAATCGATGGTATCCTGGGGGACAGCAATGACAGCGAAACATCGTATGAGAACCATTTTGATCCTTTATCCACAGGCTGGATGGCTCCAATCATGGTATACTCCTCCCGTTGTTCCCATCGTAGTCGCTTGCTGAAGAGACAAATAGATAAACAGTAGGAAAACTCCTCCCCTCATTCCCTTAGCAGTCGTTGTGACCCGCCAAATCGGCGCTACTCCCCGCACTTTCCCTTGCTCAGGCGGTCAGAACCCCACCATCCACCCCCAAGTTTGTTGAATTCTGGTTCGAACAGATGGGCATTCCCACAACCCAAAACACTGGACCCAGTCTGGGAAACTGGGGCTGAATCTGAAATCTCCGGATTTCGCCCTGAGCGCTGGCTCTCGGGGTTGGGGGACAACAACATGCTCAAGCTCTATAGTGAGTCATTCCTGCCCTTCTCCATCGGAACAAGCGGGTACATTGGGAAGAAGTTCGCACATGTCGGATACTCTGCCGTCCGGTCTGCTGGGGCTGTTTCGCGAAATGAGTGTTGAGCTTGACTCATGCGGGGGAAAGCAAATTATTTGACGAGGCTGGACTGGAGTGTTTGGAGAAGATGGGGAAGTTTCCCACTGTGATCACTTTGTGGCCTGCAGGAAAATGCCTGGCGTCAAGTGGGTGAGGAGAAGGAGTGGATAGGTGACTGGCTGGGTACAGCATCAGCAATTGTAAAGCTCTCGGCGCAACCTCTGGATAAGCTGAGTTGATTATGTTTGGCCGAAAATGGGCTTTTGGATCACGAAACTGACGACATGCAGGTGGGATTGAAAATTATGGATCTATGACGGAGTGATCCCTGTACTGTACAGTAACCTGCATGATGCTCAGTGTCATCAGCTTGCTGCCCACAAACCCCACATCACCCGGGAAAGCAAGTACCGGTACATCACTGCATGGCTGATACTGCACCGGTGCTCGGGTAGCTGGTACCCATGTGTGGGTCAGCCCGTGATGATTATATCGGAGAGCCTGATCAAGCGGCACCCTGGCACCAGAGAAAGGTGTGGAACATCACAATTGCATTTCCCTCAAGGTTCCGATCACGATCTCCTAAACGCCCAACAAAGCAGGCAATTCAGAGTTCCTACCCACGGATACCGTACGGCGTGGTTGAGCATACTGGATCACTAGTCTGGGGCTGAGGGGCTGGATTTTTACAGATGGGCACTTTACCAGCAGACTGATGACTGCAACACCCGCCAGGGAAGCACACTTTGCGAAACCTTGCAGCGAGTTTGGGTATTATTATACAACACCGGTTTTGTGGAGCGTGTGGGGGTGGGGTAGGGCTGAGTTGGGAATATAATACTTGAATCATAAAAGGCGCTGGTGTGTGTGTGGATGTGTGGAGGAAGGGGAATTGGGAGTATTTCCGCAGATTGTAAGCACAGCACTTGGCACTCTGTACCGGCATTGGAAGGCGGGGACGTAGGCGTGGTGGGGGTGGTGGTGTACTTGTAAGTGGTGCTCGCAGTTGGAACGAAATCCACTGCACAGTACTGCACTTACAGGGCCGGGATGTCGCATACCTCAAAGTGCACCACCGGCAGCGAAATGTTATCGCTGGGGCAAACGGTGGAACCGTATGGATGAAGCTTCAAAATCCCTCTCCCCCTTATCGTAGCCAATGCTCAGGCTTCATATACACGTGTCTCGCTCAAAGATATATTATCCGAACTGCCGCCTGTGGCCTTTTGGCGGAAGCTAACAGTGCTACACTAGCACAGTAAGGTACTGTTCCTGAATGTACCCGGTGGAGTGTGTTGGAGGGACCGGGTTTGGTATTTATCATAGCCGGGTGGGTCAGGACGCCCCCGCAGCTTGGAATCATGCTCGGGGGGCGGAGGCGGGTCAAGGTCTTGCGCTGTACTGTAGTGGTGGAGTTTGGCATCGCTGGGGGGTATTTCATCCTCCCGCTGGTCGCCTGGGTTTATCGATGTTGGCATGAGAGCGGCGGTTGTCGGGGTGGAGGAACATGGGAAGAGGGACAGGATAGAATTGTCGCGATGCCTTGGACCCAGCGGTATGATGCAGCGCGGTGCGGGTAAGTTACTAGGCTAGAGCTGCACTAACATCCGCTTGCGGTGCTGCACTGAGCCATGCATACGGTTCATATACGAGTACTCGAGTACAGCACTGCACAGATGCAGGCTTCGTGAGCATGATTGCTACTGTACTCGTACTGTACTCGAGCGCACGCTGTAACCGGGTAGAGCTTATCCGGGTGTCACCCCGTATTCCTATCCTCCCCTCCTCCTCCCTACCATATCCTATCGGTGGTTTTCTTCTCCCTTCCCCCTTCCCCCTTCCCCCTTCCCCCTCCTCCCTCCTCCCCGTATCAACCACCCCACTCACAGCAAACCGTGCCAAATGGGTGCCCATTTCTGCCGCTCCTAGTGCTTGTTCCCGCGGTTAAAGGGACTACAGACCGTATATGGCATTGGTATCCGGTACCCCTAGCCTGTGCTACGGATGCGGTTTCCCTTGATAATTTGGGTGTGCTGGTTGGGAGTGAGCTACTGTACTCGAGTACTAGTACTCGAGCACAGTACAGGTACGAGTGCAGTGGGTCTGGGCTAGGCTAAATTGTTCGGGTCGGTAGTTTTTTTCCGGTTCGGGGCTACATGGTGGCCTTAATTTTGGTTCGACACACGAGCAATGTGAGACATCATTGCATTGGGGAAGAAGGGGCTGTTTCATTCAACAGTCGTCTTTTTTTTCCTTATTTTTTCGCTTTTCCTCCCTTTGGGGTGAGGTGTTCGCTAATTCTGGTCTATTATACGTTAGTTTTATCGGAACCGCTCATAATCCCTTCCCTCTCCATAGCATGACATGGAATGTACGGTACGGTATCACAACATAAAATTCGAATACAAGATAACATGCTATGATAACTTGGTTGTCTCTCCTGGTATGTACTCGAGTATTATAACAGTAAGGTGCTTTGCATCTCTATTTGATTTGTCCGAACTGACGGTTGCCTCTGCCATGTTTCCCTCGCGTAACCGAGAAGGGGAACTCCAACGTCCTGCGATAATAGTCTATTCGTACCCCATTTATCATTTGCTGTACTGGTAGTTCCCGTCCGATTCTTTCTTCACCACTCGGGAATCGCTTCCCCCCCCCCTCTTCCCTCTGCCGTGCCCTTCGTTGTTGGTAATTCTGTTGCACAAGTAACCTGCGGTAGTTTTTACCCTTTTTTTTTTCCTTCTCATCACTTGGCAGAATTCTTTTTTGCGGGGAAGGCGGGTTGTGCAGTGCCAAGGATCTGCCCGTGGAATTAGCGTCTTTCTTCTCCATGCTGCCCTGCTACTCGAGTACCTGTACTCGTATACGAGTACTCGTAGGGAGATTCGGAGGTTAACGAGTGGCGTACTGGGAGCGCCCAACCCGCAACCGCTAACCTATGACACAGCGCTCGAGTGGGTTCTCTGGTGGTAATCGTGGTGGTGGGTTATGCTCATGCACTGCCTATCAGTTGTTATACTGTTGGTTGGTTGATAGGAAAAAAAGGGCGGTTTGGAAATTGAGCTACCCTAACTTAATAGGACCAATTGCTCCTCCTCTTACCATAGCCTCGAAGAAGAAGAGAAGAAAAAAGTGATTTTGATGGTACACCTTCGGATTGGTGATCCTCTATTCGCGGTCATTGGGGGAAGGGAACAGAAGGGGGAGGAAGGTGTAATTGTGGGAGTATTGTAACAGGCTTCTTGATAATGTGTATGGAAAGGTAAATTAGTAGATTTGGCAAGCCGCTGGTGTTCTGGTGATCGAGCAGGCAGGCAGGGTGGGAGTATAGTGCCTGGAGTAGATCTTGATACGGCACAGTGCCTCAGTAGGTTGAGAAAAACACGGAGTCAGCCAGTCTGTACCTCAACACCGGGTCCGGTTCCCCCACATCAGCTCCCACTCTCTCCCTGGTCCCTTATATATTCCGCTTCCTTCCCCCCCCCCACCCCTTCCCTTCGCCGTGGATAATTTCCTATACACGTGCGACCAGACCCAACCCCCCTGTCGGAATACTCCAGATTTCCCTTCTCTCCCCTTTCTCTCCCTCGTCTCCCCCCCCCCCTCGTTAAAAGGTGGCTGTTTTGCATACAGTGCTTGCCGGTTAATCCCAATGGCCACAGCCGTACCGAGAAAGAAGGAGTTTCCTACACGTCAGCTGTTTGTACTGTGTAAGTTTTTTTCGCTTCTTTCCCACCTGTTACCTGCTTCCTCCCCAATCCCGTCCTTGGGTTTTCACCTGGAGATGAAAGGGGGGCTGATTTTTCGTGGTAGCGTTATGTAGGATCTGCGAACCTATTTCCTTCTGTTCGATCCTTCCGTATATCTATTATATGATTGAGTCGTTTGGCAGTGCGGTTTGTTCAACACTCCTCCTCTACTAGCATTGCAGTGGAGATGTGATGCGTGATTGATGATTATGATGCTTGTTTACAGAAGAGCGCCAATGAAATCGCCGTCTACGCTGGTATGGTCACCAGCGCCTTTGCATTTGCCGAGTTCACGACCGGGATGATGTGGGGCAGGATCTCAGACATATTTGGGAGAAAGCCTGTATTGATCATGGGCCTTGTGGGGACTATGCTCTCCATGATAATATTCGGATTTGCAAAGAGCTTTCCTGTAGCGTTGATCGCGCGCGCTGTTGGTGGGGCGTTGAATGGTAACGTTGGAGTAATTCAGACCACTGTTGCGGAGCTGGCCACTGAGAAGGAATATCAAGGTAGGACGAATGGGTTGGTGATATTGGGGGCGCGAATGATGGGCCATGTTGACAATTGTTTAGCTAGGGCTTTTGCCGTTATGCCCTTTGTCTGGTGTCTAGGGTCTATTATCGGTCCCGCCCTCGGCGGTCTCTTGGCCGAGCCCGTGAAACGATATCCGGCCGTGTTCCATTCTGGCGGAGTCTTTGAAGAGTACCCCTATCTCCTACCCAACCTGGTATCCGCAATTATCCTGGTGGTGGGAATTATCATTGGGACATTGTTTCTGGAGGAGACTCACGAGATCCTCCGCGAGAAACCGGATATTGGGGTTAGGGCTGGAAGGAGGATGGCCAAATTTTTCGGGGGACATAGCAGTTGTTCTGAGGGCAAGATTGAGGGTGTGGAGGGATACGGCTCTCCCCCTAACGAGGAGGAAGGGTTATTAACCAGTGGTAGTAGTGAATACAGCACATTTCCCAATGCCCCAGCGGCAGATATTGCGGAGGAGGGACATGTAGGAAAGAGGTCTCCAGTCACCAAGACATTCACCCCCCCGGTTATAGCGCTTATCGTGTCATATGGGATATTGGCGTATCACACCATGGGCTTTGAACAACTCTTTCCCGTCTTTCTATCGACCCCTCGGGCTGCGGAACCCCCGCATCATCCATTCAAATTTACTGGGGGCTTTGGTTTGGACACCCAGTCTATCGGCCTCATCTTGTCGGTACAAGGTGTCGTTTCGATGGCCATCCAATTCTTTCTCTTTCCACCAATAGTCGAACACTTTGGAACCCTAAGTGTCTATCGATTTTGCATGTTTCTATACCCAATATCTTACCTCATAGTTCCATATATTGATTTTCTCCCCCCGTCGCTTTCAATGGCTGGGGTCGCCACCGTCCTTCTTGTGAGGGTCACCTTTTCCGTTCTTGCATACCCCTGCAACGCGATCCTGCTCACCAACGCCGCTCCATCCCTTCTTGTCCTCGGGGCGATCAATGGCATCGCTGCTAGTGCTGCAAGCCTCTGTCGAGCTTTTGGCCCTACTATTACCGGATTAATCTATACTCAAGGCCTCGATTGGGGAATGGTGGGTCTTGCCTGGTGGGTCAATGCTGGTGTCTGTGTGATCGGCGGCATTCAGTGCCTGTGGATGAAAGAGGAAGACTTTGACGGCAGTAGGAAAACAGGGGAGATTGCAACAGACGAAGAAGTTGGCTAGAGCGTTGCGGTAGAGGCATAAGCTGCACATACTACAGGATTAGTTGTAGGAGGGGGGCGCATCAATGAGCCAACAATGGCGCGCAGGGTTGCTGGGCGGGGGGGTCGCCAGGAGCTTTGGGGAGGGGGGACATGGGCGGGGTTAGGAGAAGCGAGGGGAACTCTAATCCGTCGGTCAACACATTGTACACAACCGTTTCCTGTTTGACTGGGGTTATGAATTTCGATTCCCGATGAGTAGAATATCGATACCGCAGCGGTCCGATTTGTGATGGGGTATCATACAGACCCTCGTCGTTATCCGTCACTCGGGGTTTTTTGTTTCTTTCTTGAGACCTCTTTGGCTGGCGATAGAGGTTAGTGGTTTCGTCTAGATTCGGGGTTTGGGTTTTACGAGAAGTGCTATACCGGTAGTGGTGCGCGCTTTGGGGAATGTGAATCATAATGTCTATTGCAACAATACCGGTAGGGGTAGGTTCAGTTCACCCGGGCCTGCCGGCTGGCTGACTCAGTAATCGATTGATTAGTAATTCCGACGGTAGTATTATACGACATCTATCCTCAGCATCATTATTCCGAGCCTTTTCCTTGACATCATAGCTATGAGCGAGCAAAAAAGGGTTGCGAGGTGAGAGTATAATAATGTATGTTGCATGGGGAATGATTGGCAACAGTTTTGGTCCCCTCGTTAGTAAAACCAACACGGTGCTGTACTATGTTACTATGAGTTATACTCGATAGCGCACCCACGGGGGGAATGGCGTCATGGAATTCACGGGAAAGACGATGGGGCGGGAGAGTGCTATGACTGTAGGCCCTGGTAGCTCCTTGACAGCTCTTTATTTCTCCCGCCCAAAATATATCTTTTCCATCGTATCATACATGTACCAATTCTTTGTTACCCTTTGAATGCAATCATAGAACCTCACTCGCGCCTACCCTGTTTCTAAGTGAAAACCAGAATGAACCCTTATATCGACTCAATTCACTACAGCTTAGAGCGACAGCCATAACAGACAATAAATACAAATCTCCTAGTCCAGCACAGCCTTCCGGATTGCAAGAATCCAGCCTCCCATTCCCATTCCTGCCTTGAATGCCGATTAACATTCTTCAAATTCCACCCATCACAACAACAGCATTCCCATACCAATTCCAACCATCACATATACAAGAATGATACCAACATACTCGTTCCATACAACACTAAGTTCGCCGCTCACAAATTGGCAACGTAGGCTGCAGGAGGTATGATATAATGACCGACGTTCAGTCTCTCTATGCTAAAATGACATACACGGACCCAGCGAGCCCACTTTGCGAAAGAAGGGAAAAAGTTTAATAGGGCAATCTCTTTGTCTGGCTGGCGTGTTTGCAGGGTACTGTGAATCTACTCCGATGGTTGGGGCGTTGTTGCGGGACAAAGGAATTATGGGATGTTTAGTGGTCGGCATGCTCTTTGATATGGGTGAGATATATTATAAGTCCGCCCGCCCTTTTTCTCCCCTCATTCTGGGTCCGGGGGAGGAGCACTAAAGAAGAAAAGAAAAGGAAACAAAACTCGCTGGAAGAAATGACGGACCTCGGGTCAATACCACGCTCAGGCAGGCTCTTGGACTCAGAAGTCTACACAAGACTCCTCGACCAATACCTCGACGTGGGCCACCGCCTCTACAAAGGGACCGAAGCGCTCTGCGTGGACCGAGGTCTCCGGCTAGCGGACACCTTCCGGGCATATGTGGCGCTGATGCGGGTCCCTTACGCGCCCTACTATGACACTAGCTTCATCCTCAAGTACTTTAAGACCGGGAGGAGATCGCAGGTGCCTAGGGAGCAGGTAGAGCTCGAGGGCGCCGGTCTGAATCACGCCGCTGAAGCCTTCCGGCGTAACAACGTTGGCAGAGCGCCGAGGGTTTACGCCCTTCGCCCGGCGCTGGACCTAATTGCCATGGAGTTTATTCGTGGGAAGGGGTATCGCGATAGCTCTCCGGGGTGGTGGCCAAAGGAAAGGATGATCAAGTTTGTGAGGCAGATGGCGGTTTTCCGGCTTGCCATCTTGACCCAGGTGGAGAATCAGCTCGGGGTTCCCCGGAATGCCCCATATGAGGGGAGGGTTGGGCCTTATTGCTCGGAGGTTTGGTGGGACCAAGATAAGGTTTCTCTCCTTCCGCCACCCCCTCGCTTTCTCCCTTTTATCGTTTGCATCATATGAATCGCTGGATGGCCGCTGATCATCAGAGCAGTCCAGGTTGTGGGACCAGATGGACCGAGGTCCATTCCCAAACCGCCACGAATTGATACTGGCCTCCCTTCGCAGAGACCTATTGGTAAGCAGATGGAGGTCGCAACACGGTCGGCGGATCCCATACGGCTCACACTTCCCTACATGGGCCGACATGATATCGTACCTGGAAAAGACAATCGAGAACATCGAACGGGAGCCCCGCCCAACTCGCCCGGAGTTTTTTTCTCTGAACCACAACGACCTCCGACTTGGCTTTAACATTATGCTGCGAGGTGGGAAGATTGCCGCAATCATAGACTGGGAGACAGGCTCATACGACCCTCTCTCCATGTGCGTCGTCGACTTGGCCACAGAGACGGATTATGATCCCAGAGAGTGGAGGGAACACGCGGGCCCCAACGGCGAAAACTTTCACGTACTACCCTACCGGCTGGAAGCAGAACCTACCGAAAACCGTATATCATCCGCCACAGATATGGGGGCCGAGCGGAAGCCTTTCCCGGACTGGGAATTAATCGAGAACAACGGCGGGCCGCTCTGCGAGGCGGACTTTTGCGGCGATGATTACCCCGAGGACCTCGCCTCCGATGAAGATGAGAGCATCGTGGACGCGGTGGAGATTCACTGCGACTCGGACGTCGATGCGGAGGAGGAGTGCTTGGCCCCCGGGGGCGGAGATGATGAACTGGCCCGGCCTAACCCGCACTATGTCGGAGGAGAATGGTACTATGAACCTGTGTACGCTCTCATGAAGGAATTCATTCACCGCCATCGCGGGGCGGGCCTGGGACCGAACGGGGAGTGGGGGAAGCTGCCGGAGGAGTACTCTAGGCCACTGGCGGACTGGGACGATCCGCTGTTCCGGAGGGTCACGCAGACCCCCTTCGATGGCGGGCATGACCAAGTCGTCGACGAAGACAGGATCGATGTAGCGATAGCGGTAACCGAAGCCGCGGCAGCCAAGGCACATAAAGTGAAGAAGGAGAAGATCGCCGTACCCTCGCGACCACGCCGAATGCCTACTCTCCTAGATGCCTGGGGCGATACCGCCGCGACCGGTGGAGAAGAAGGTTCCCCCAGGTCCCCGGTATCGAGCGCTGGCTATGCCAACTGGACTAGAAAGCTCACCCCTAGACGCAAGCGGCCCATCACATCCCCAATCGGTCGGAAGGTCGGCCCGAGTCACGACCCCATTCCCCTGACCGCGTTCCCAGGAGCGCATGCGCCGACCAAAGCGGGGCGGCAGGGGGCGGAGGCGGGTGTCCCGTCCACCAGCGACGACGAGCGTGTGAGGACTGTGAGGGATGCGGTTCTTGCGAGGGTTATGGAGAGATTGAGGAGTGGGTTAGATTAGATAGTGGAGGGGAATTTCCGTAGGGCGGGGGATTTATGTTAGTACTACTCTGGAATGTCTGCTGTCTTTTTTTTTCTTTTCTTTCCCCCCCGGATTTCTGGTCTTTCCTCTTCCTTCCATAATACTTCTCTTCTAATTATGTCTCGTTCTACTGGTCCTCTAATTTTCTTAGCTTTAAGCCACGAGTAGTTTGGCGGTTTCTTGCTCCATAATCGTGGAGATAATTTATCATAACCCTTTTTTTCTCTTCTGATTTCGTCTTCTCGTCCGAGGCAGGAATCCTCTTGGTAAAACGTTGTTAATTTTTTTCTTTTTTCGGGATAACTGATCATACTGTCGAAATTATTATTATAGCAGGGGAAGCAGGGCAGGATCAGCTTGCGAGTGATAGTCGGTGATGGAGTGTGGGGGGGGTAGCACTATCATATCTATCGGATGTTGTGGCGTTCGGTGTTTATTGTACTATACAGTGGCTAGGGGATACAATGCCATTTTCTATCGCTATAATCGTGCATTTGGGAACTGTGCGTGGTATTTCATTACGGGCGATTGTCCTGCCCGGTATTGAGGTTTCTGCTTTTTATACCCCTTCCCCAGAAAGGGGCCACAGAGATGAAGAAAGTCCTTGTCACGTGGGAGAAAATTCACGCCACTCTCCACCTATTATAGGTGGCTAGCTGTTGACAAGAGATGTGATGTGGGCCTTAGGAGGAGGGGTAAAACCATGTTCGTCCTTGGAAAGCACACCTCAACCACCCATCACTCACTCTCCCCCATGCACCCCCTCACAACCCACTCCCAAGCCTCACGGACCCCCCACCCCTCCAAGGCGGAACAAATCATACCCCCGCCCTCGGCAAAATCATTACCCCCCCGGCGCGCCTGACTTACCAGATCCCCCTTACACCCAACGACAAAAACCTTCCCCGCCCCGCCTCCCTCCCCCGGTCTATTCCAGTGCCCCACAACCCGCCACCACCTCTCCCCGACATCCCTCCAACTCTGCACGTCGTCGGCGGCGTAGGCGATAACGTACCCGTCTATGTCCCCCCGGCCGAGGAATAGGTTGCGCAGGCGCTCGAGGTCCTCGGACCCGCCCAGGTCCAGGATCGTCAGGACGGTGTGCGGGTGGCTGGGCAGGTTCGTGGTGTAGACGTCCTCCAGCGTTATGACGTGCTCGCCTGTGAAGACCTTGCTGGTTTGGCGGGTTAAGAAGTTGGTTTTGCCGGTTGAGAGTGAGCCGAGGAGGAGGATTGTTAGGTTTTTTTGGGGGGTGGTGGTGGGGGATTGGGTGGTTGTGGGTGGCATTTCTTTTCTTCCTTTTTTTCCCCCTATCTTTGCTGTTGTTTTTTTCTATCTCTGAAGCCTGTTGGAGATCCTGCGAAGAGCGGCTCCTGCTAGCTGGTGGGCTCGTAGGTGTTGTGGACAGTGGTCAATCCAGCCGCTATTTAGTTCGCCAGCGTATCTAAGGAGTACGATAGTGTGATAGTAGAATTCTGGGACAAACTATCATAATTATCACACCTATAGGCCATCAATGGGAGCGCCATGACCTCACGTACCGGCGTCAATAGGGTTCTACCCAGAATAAAAGGTATGATACGACAGTTATCATAGTATTATATGATAGTATCAATATCACCAAAGCAGCAACCTCAATCCCCGACACATATCATAGAAGAAAAAGAAAAAATTTTTGTATGGAGAGAGCATATTAGGATACTACGTGAATGGAAGACAGACCGGGAAAAAAAAAAAGAATCTGATCTAGTGGCAGATCAAGAAAAAAAAAATCTAATGGACTGCAAAATGGGGAAAAAGAGCCGGGAACCAGAAGAAAGGATAAGAGATTTTAGACTGTAAACCATCAGATAGGCACATTGGCTCATGTGCCATCACTCGCTCCTCTGGTCCGCGTATATCATACTTGATGCGTTCGTTACAATCCAACTTGCGAGATGCTATCCGACCGCTCTTCTGGTATACTAATGGGGATTGCTGAGTCTTAGTAGACGAGAAAAAAGGATACCATGGGGAAGGGGGTGTCGACATCAACCATCAACAGAAGAAACCCCAAGAATCTGTTTGGAGGAGGGGAAACTCCACAGAGACATGTTCGGGGGGGGTGGATCGCCAAAGTGGTAGTTCCCCTCTCCCCCCCCCCAACAAAAAAAAAAAAGGACTCACTCGGTGATTGATTCTCTTCGGGTCACGGGGGAACCGTAGCATGAGGGTGGTGGGTGACCCGACCACTCAAAGCTAGAAGTTTTTCCAGCCGTAAGGCAAGAATTGTGTCCAGCAACATTTTTATTTACATATTTTTTATCGCGGCAATTCTAGGGGTGTCATTCCGTTCAAGTTCAAGAAGCAACTCGATCACCTCGTCGTCTCTTTCGAAGCAGTTTTCGTATATATATATATTTGGAATTGTTTGTTTGTTCGCTGGAACACACACGGTGGCAGAGATGTTGGGGATGTCGGCGTTTCACCCGGGGGAGGCATTCTACCATTCACTGTTTCTTACCCATTATGGTAGAGATTGAGACGGGATAGCGTCTGACTTATGTACTGTAGGATAGCCCACTTCTGATATGATACCAGGATGGACAGCTTTTCTCTCCAAAAGCCAACCCTCGAACCCCCCCCCCAGTAGTGTTCGGGGAGAGAGGGAGTTGACGGAAGGGGCTCCTGGCGCCGCCGAAATTGACCCTGCAAGTCCTGCGGGATCTGGATCCGGTATCGTACCGGTTTCTATCTACCAACTTTGTGGATGTTATTCTATAATTTTCATCACCAGCAGGGCGGTCTCAACCGGGTGCTTTTCCCAAAGGCACATTAGGAAGCGTGCAATGGTTCTCGCTAGGGCACGGATCCGATGCATCATACCATTTTTCGCCACCCTTTGACAACGCTGCTCCCCTGATATTTGAGTGGGTGCCAGTCGTGCATGGGATCTCTGCTTTTCGTCCATTCTTCACGACTGACAGTCGAGAAACGAAGGTATTAACGTTTAGAATTTGACCCTCTTTCACGTATATATAAATAGTATTATACACAAATTAATGGCAAACAAGTATCATGGTTTCTATAGAATCACCTTATACAAAAAAAAAAATACCCAAGCCGAAAAATCTAATAATGAGAATAATAAGAATAAGAATATAAGAATAACACCATCATACATACATACCCACGAGGCCCATAATGAGAATAGCCCCCCACACTTCCATGCACTCGCTAATAGGCCCCCCAACCTTTCCATTGCAAATACCAACCCAGTGGCTTCCTCGGGTCATTCGTCCTAATCGAATTCAACTCGTTCCCAAGTCGCCTATCCCGAGGAAGTCCACCTTCCCGATCTCAGTGACAGTCATATTTTGCTCCTCACACTATCTCAGCCGGCATATTCAGCTGTACGGGGCTCCGGTAAGGCATGGCGGGATGACTGCCAAGGGGCCCGGACGAGACGGGAAGGCAAAATGTGGTCTACCCTTGTCTTGCAATTCTCAGGATGGCCGCCATTGGGAAGGATGATGGGCCCTATGATGCAAGACAAATTGGCATAGGGGGCATCCAGGGTGACGGAAGAAGGGTGAACGGCAACGGACTGTCAGTAACTGCAAGTGACGGCGGGTGGCCGCAGGTGATGTCCCGGGACTAGGGGAGACGGCCGGAAAACGTGATATAACCCGTAGCAGCGCCATATCCTTACACCCCATTGAGAAATCTGGCAAGTTCCTGGGGCGATGCGGGCGTAGCGGTGACTAGGGTGCAGTTGGACGCGCTGCAGGATAAACGGGTTGGAGTTGGCTTACATCTTGGACGTAATGTTGTAGGGCCCTTATGCCGGTCCGGCGGTACCCCTCAGTCTTGAATAAACCTGGTTGAATATCACTGACCCTATCTCGCTTGAGCATCAACACTCTGCCTCCCAAAGAACCCACGGGACCCTGGGGCTCGTGCTATTCCAGGTTGCCCATACTAGATACCCCCCCCCTCACACACACACACACACACCTATGGGGCTAGGCGAGGGAAGGAACTCAGATGGCACAGGGCTCGGAGACAGCTAGCACGCCTCCACCCCTAGCCCCGCCCCACATAACCCCCCACCCAAGTCGGTCCGCTTCTCCTCCCAGAACGAGGTGTTCGAAATCCCGGGCACCCCATCAGGCAACCGCACAGCCTCCTCGAACCCCTCGCCGTTTCCGTTCCCGTTCCCGCTCCCGGGTTCGTTTTCATCAAACCCGCTTCCTTCAAACCAAAGGCCCGCCTTCCACACTCCCGGTACCCCCTCCTTCCAAGTAGAGCCACCGGCGGTCCCCAGGCGACCGAAACCCCCCGCCAGCTCACCGGTTAGCTGGCCCCCCATGGTGGCAGAATCCACCCCCGAGAACACCCGCCACCTCTTGGGCAATGTAGGCCCTGAATCTCCTACCAATGTCAGGAATACCCTACACCTCCTAATAGTTTTTGAGAGGTCTATGGAGCAAATGTTGGACACCAAGCTAGCAGCAATGGAATGGAGAATTATCTTTGCTATCAGAAACAACCCCATGAGGGTGACAATGCCGGTCAACCCTACCAGACAAAACCTCCTGGCCCAAGCGGTGAGGGCACCTAGCTCAGCGCCCAACAGGCCCCCACCCTCCTAGAGACAATACTAGCAGGCCACCACAGGCCACAAAAATGCAACCCGAGACCCAGAGGGATAAGGGAAAAAAGATGTGGGCTGCCATTTCAGCAGTAGGGGTTGACGTGGACAGGTTTAGACTAGTCCTGACCAGAAAGAGAAACAAGGCAAAAGGGCCAGGTATTGGCAATCAACTTGACCATGCCCCCTCTGCCCCATCAATGTCACACACAAGGTAGTACTAGCTCCTGATCCAGTCTGCAGAACAGGGGTATAAGAAAGGAGCCACTGGCTGCATCCCAGCTTGCATTTGAGATGCTGTCAACTTGGCTACCAGAACCATCTTTACCTTCACGGAATACAACTG